TGAATGAACAATAGGGAATCAGTTCTCATGGACAATCAAAAGTAAATATTTTTTAAAGACGATATTGAAAAAACAGGCCACAAAGTAGAAACTCGATGCAACAAAAGTGGTTACACTTGTGATCACTGACACACAAATTTCAATTTTCCAATTAGTCTAATTTCATGAACATGACCTGTGGACACTAGAACAGAAGAAAAATATTCCAGCATGATTACATGACATGAGTCCAACAGAACATCTTTGGGGTATTTTTTAAAGAGAAAGGTAGAGGAAACACTTCCCCTCCAGCAAAGAGGAGCTGGAAAAATAATTTCTGAAGAATAGCAGAACTTTTCTACTAAAATTAGATTCTAATGCCAAAGAGGTGTGAGTCTGTCATCAAAGATAAAGGTGGTCTTACAAGGTACAAAAATAAAATCCAATCAGAGTCATGAAATGTCTACTGACTTTGTTGCATTGAGTTCCTAATGTGGGGCTTCTATTTTTATAAGAACGCAGAAGAAATCTACTTACTGTAAGGTGATTCAATATTGAATAATCGGACATTTAAGAAATTCTGCAGAGCGCTGTACCCACTCTTTTGAGTACTGTGTATCCATCCTCTCATCTGACTCAGTGTTTTTCCCATAACGGTGGAGCATTCCTTTATCCTGAATGGCTTCAGCCTTGTAGACCATCACAAGGTGTCTGAGATCATGAACTATCTTGGCAGTGTAAATCAAACCTAACATGAAACATCAAGTTCTTTCGCTTTGGTAAGAGTCACATCAAACAACTCAATACAAAACAGAGGTAAGCACAATAACAGCAACTCCTGTACTATGCAAACATTTTAGGCACTTTGGATGGTTATATCTGTATCCATCCTGTTTCCTGTAATTTCTATAACAGATAAATATAAACTATTAACGGCTTTATTTCTAAAAGCATCTTCACTTTACATTAAGTGCCTAAAACCTTTGCACAGTGCAGTATGTTAAAAAGAACGTAGCTCCATGTCTAATACATTATTCTTATATTATATCCAACTACATAAAAAACTCTACCTTGACAGGTGAACAGAATAGATTCTTTAGACAGTGTACAGTCGGTTTAGGATTGTCTTTGGGTAAACTCTGCATAATAACAACCTTTTGTAGAACTCTTTTTAAAAAATATATTCAACAGTGTTAAATGAAACCATGCACATTAGATCTCAAATGCCAAGAATCCAAAACCAGCTCTTCTACTGCATCGTACAGGTCTGATGATGTGTGTGCCAATCAAAGCTAAAAGCATGTCAGATAAATCATGAATAGATTCTTACTCACAATATTCCTTCTATCTTAACCTGTGACCGTTGTGGAACAACAGTGACGAAGTTCCACACAAATGCTGTGTCGTATTGTCTGTAAGATGTCCACTGAAATACTACGACAGCATCCACTTCCAGGTATGAAAAAACAGGCAAAATGACTCTTGACTGGGAGATGTTTCACTCTGAAAAAACACTTTGGGGAAGGACTGTAGAAAGGCTGTCTGGGGAAATATGTAGGAAAGGCTAAATGACAGGAGGAAACAAAGCAGGACAAGGTGGGTTTATCAAAAATACTAAACCAAGCCTTCATTTTGCAGCAATGACAATAATTCTGAAAATTCTAATAATAATGTGTTTTTGGTCTAAACTCCTGCATTACACTTCAGTCATGTGATGGCAGCACTCAAAAACATTTACTGTGAAGGCGGCACAACTAAACCCTACCAACACTGGATTCTTTGTGTTAAATATCAACATGATGTGACATCACATCATTTATGTAAGGATCATCACTTTTTCAAAGGGCTCAACCTCATCCTCACTCTTCTGTTGCTGTTTATTATTCATACTGGTGCATGCAAACTGATCATCTCATACAATTCCCTGCAGAGCTTTTTTTTTTTTTTAGTGCTCACTGAAGTCAAAGGCGACAGCAGGAAAAAAAGATCCAAGACGTTCTGAGTCTTAGCTTGAAACTTAACGTGAAACTTAAGCAGTTTCTGAGGGTTTTCAGTGCAATGCAAAGTCCCGCCTCCCTATGTAGATATGTAAATGGCACACCCATGGCTAGGAGTATTTAAAATTCAGACATTTTCTCTGTACACAGTTATAATGCCATTAATCATTAAAAAGTAAAACAACAAAAATCTAATCAATTGTTTTTTTTTGGATTATTTTACCAAAATTGAAAAAACTTGAAATTACCATGTGTAACACATTTCCAAGAACACACAGGTGTTACCAATGCTGGGAAAATGGTGAGATACTATAAATACTGAAATACTATAGATATTTTACTACTTATTTTTATACTATGTTTCTGTGCTGTCTCCTAGCTGCTCAGCTGAAGAGTCCCTTTAGTGTGTTTCAAGGAACTGTTGGTCACAGCTGCGTCACTTGTTTTTTACATAATCTGGTGCAAAATGTTCATTTTTTAATTAAAGAAAATAAAAAATAACAACAAGTAGAATAGACAACAGAACAGGACTATTTCAAGGACTGTCAGAAAGTTGAAAATCTGGCTGACAAATGGTGTCATTATTTAAAGAAAATATGCCTTTTAAACACAGTGGTGGGTTTGGATATTCAACAGTTTAAGGTATGATGAGCTTTTAATATTCCATGGCTGACACTAATGCATTTTGACTAGAAGCCATCATTACGGTGTTAGAAAAAAATAAAAATCTAATTCAAACACACTTAGAGGCCTCACACATGTCAGATAACCGTGGTGTGCAGATGGAACTCCCTCATGCTTTTAATGAAATGTCCTTACAGGTGTCTAATTTTTGTGTTTCAATCAGACTGAAAACAAACAGCTAAAATGATTCATGTAATAATCTACAGGAAGCTTGTGCTTTTGGTCCTTATGTATGCTGTTTTGTCCGACAAAAAACTGAATGTCTGCAACAAAGGTGGAAAGTGAAAAGTGAGCATGGCCCACATGAGCCACAGAAGAACAAGTGTAAAGGCACTCAGTGGAAATTTCTGTTCGTTATCTGATGCTGTGGCCTGAAAAAACAAGAACAAAAACAAAAACTATTGCACCTATTTTGTGTGTGTGTGTGTGTTAAAGGAAATTATAAAATGCTACAAATTCTAATTATGTTTTACTTTACTATTTCTAAAAGCAGTACACATTTTCAAATAGATAGGCTTGTTTTGGGAAGAAAACAACATTTTCTGTTGTTATTTAAAAACTAAATTTATGCAATTTTAATACAGTGAAAGATCAGCAGTGAAATGAAAACAATCCCCAAGACCCCCAGAGGGTTAGAGGCAGCAGACATGACACGAAAAAACAGGTGTCTGAATAGACAGAAGATCAAGAAGGCACTGTGAAAATCTTTCCAATGCAGACTGTTTTGTTCATAAAATACAACCAGGGTAAGGTGCCTCCCATTTCACCAACTGGACCAATTGGGAATTTCCGAGAGAGTTGCTGAACACAAATACCACAAGAATTATTAGTAAGGAAAAGTCAGTGGCCAGACTTTGTAAAACCTATCTGCACAATAACTGTGATTCTCTAAAAGCAGTTGGCATTAGTGTATTAGAAATCAATGATGAAAACAGCCACGTTTATTTCGATTGGATCATTCTTACTTGGTGTCCTTACCTAAACCTGAAGTTTGTGTTTACACAATCCTGCTCAGTGTGTGAATGATCATGTGACAGCATCTTTAGGTTTGTTAGTATGGACAAAGCTTATTTCTGAAATTATTCTAAAATGAAAAAAAAGTCTACTTAACAGTTTTAAAATTTAAAATAGATTAGTGTTTTGTTTGTATTTTATTCTAGCATCCTGCTGAGGGGGCTGCAAAGTGGCTTGGTGGTTCGCACCATTGCCTCACAGCAAGAAGATCACTGGTTTGCATCCCGATGAGGACACCCGGGATCTTTCTGGGTGGAGTTTGCATGTTCTCCCCGTGCAGCGTGGGTTCTCTCTGGGTTCTCCAGCTTCCTCCCACACAGTCCAAAAACATGTTGAGGTTAATTGGTGATTCTAAATTGTCCGTAGGTGTGAATGTGAGTGTGCTTGGTTGTCTGTCTCAAAGTGTAGCCCTGTGATAGACTGGCGACCTGTCCAGGGTGTCCCCTGCCTTCACCCTAAGTCAGCTGAGATAGGCTCCAGCCCCCCCGTGACCCCAGCCTTGAAATACTAAAGATTTTTTTTTTCAATGTGCTTCATAACTCAGAACGCCTTGGATGTTTTCCTGTTATCAGTGGAGCTCTACCCACCTTCTTCCAGAGCAGTGGTCCAAAGAGACAGTGGCTGCCTTTCACAGTCCCAGTGGTGACCAAGTGGCCAAAACACGTCTTGAGTGGAAAATTTTGTAGAAACAAATTAAACTCTCTGGACAATAAACTATGTCACAGGATCACAGAAATATTTGTGACATGGTACTTTCAGACAGTAACAGCTGCCACATAGATGAACTGGTCAGGCTCCAGGCATTAGTGTAGTTTCAACTTCAAAGGATATCAGGCTTGACTTTACAATCCTTTCACAACCAATTAAAATATGTCAAATGGTAAACAACACACAATATTGCTTTAGGAACACAGTGCAATTTTGCTTTTTTCCTCTCATGCACAAAAGCTGAATACACCACACCCATATCTCTCTGAATTTACATGTTTTTAAAGTAGATGAAAACATCAGACATCACGCCACGTCCTTTGAGGCCACAGAGCGCAGCACTCGGACAGCTTGGCTTCCAGTGCGTTTCTTGCCACGGCCTGGAGAGCTGGGGTTGGACGCTGACATCTGGACACTCCTGGCCCCATGACTCACCATGGTGGGTAGGAGGGAGGCGGATGGGGAGGGAGGGGAAGAGGAGGAGGAGGTGGGCGACAGGGAGGATGAGGTGGAGGAGGAGGAGGGTGAAGATGAAGAGTAGGAGGATGAAGAGTAGTAGCTGTGTTGGGAGGTGGTGGTGAGGACGAGGCGGTGCTGGCGCTTGCTGCTGCTGCGAGGCCCATGGTGGGCCTGGCTGACGTTAGCGGGAGATGGCGACAAGACGTGGCTAGATGAGGGGAGGAGACGACTCAGATTCAGAGAGGGGACAAAAGACTTGTGAGGATGTTGACAGGAAGAGAGCAAAGAGAAGGATGGAGAGGGAGAGCCAGGTGGGGAAGCTGATGGAGAAACTGAGGAGGAATTTTTCATCATAGAGGAAGAAGAGAGGGGACACAAGAAACCCTGTTGCCTGGAGCGTTGGGAAGAGGAAGGAGAAGATGAGCGGGAAGGACACTGGGAGACGTTTAAAATAGGACACGGAGTTTGTTTCCCACAGGAGGAGGAGGAAGAAGCTGAAGGTGAAGAAGCAGAGGAGGAGGAGGAAGAGGACTGGCTTTGGATGCTATCGGTGGTGTCTGAGCAGTGAGGGGTGGACAGAGAGGCAGATGGGTGTTTCCCATGGCACAAGGCTGGGATCTTAGAGGCACGCAAAGCAACGACACAATGGTTACTATCCCCAGCTGCTCTAGTGCTTCTGCTGTCAGCCTGCAAACAGACACCATGGAATACGGCAAGTCAGCGGCAGCAACGCATAGCCCACATGACAGGAGAACAGCACTCATGTCTGTTATCTCTATGGCTTTGGCCAGCCAATCCTTTTCCACAGGCTACACATGATACAGTCTATGTACACGCAGCCTGCTCACATCACAAAGTGACATCGACTCATGAAATAGAAGGCGCTGGAACGCTGGTGACATACTGACCACCAGCTATTAGTCAATCATTTGACAGTATGCTAACATACTAAATTTAAGGGATCATAAGTTCCACAGTGACGTTGAAACTACTTTTTATGATGTGTCTCTAGGTACGTTTTTTTGATTGCTGGTTCCATTTTGGATCCAGTTTTTGTCGCAAAATACCAAAATTTGTTAAGCTCTAATGTTTTACACTATATTCCTGAAATGTGATTTGTGTTGTAAAACTAGTAATGTGTTTGAGTGTAACCAGCATTTTACTGATGAAGTTGGCTGAGTGGGAGCTCTTTTATTCTGTATGCTGTTGATAGTTGAACAGTGAAACTGGTTGAGAAAAGATGGCTATTTTGAAGATTTAAAAATTTACAGCATAGTTGCATGCTACATTAATTCAAATGTGTGAATTTATTATTCTGATGTCTTTAGAATAAAACTTTCAGAGCCAATGTATGTCTTGACAGCACATGCATCCCAGACCAAAACTAATGGCTGTGTCAGCCACAAGCTTTCACCTCTGCAGCAGGAGGACACACATGGTGAAACAGAGTCACATATACAGTGAAACACTGGGCAGGTGAGAGCGGACGTGAGCAGCAAACAGCAGCAGAGACTCTCACACAGAGTGTAAAATGCTTATAGTTAGAGCTGCTCAGGTGATCCTGAATCATCCCTTAGTTATCCTGCTTTAAACCTGGACTGCTTGGGAACTTCCCATTATGCACTGAGCACCTCTTCTCTACTTTTCAGTCTTTCTCTAACGCTCCATACATTTATATGACACCATTGCATGTCACTAACTTCATCCCGCATCAATACTTCATTGTCCTGTTATTATTTTGATTTTTTTTGGTGTGTCAAGCATCCTTTAATTTCATCAAAAGCACCATATAAAACGTATGTATGTATGTATGTATGTATGTATAATTATTATTATTATTATTATTATTATTATTATTATTATTATTATTATTATTAATAATAATAATAATAATAATAATAATAATAATGCCCCCCTTATTTGTAACAAAGTCTGTTTTATTTTAGGCAAGGTCTTCATAATTTTTTTCACTGACAGTACTTACCTACAGACTGCCCCACTGTCAGCTTCTTTGGATGTCTAAAATGTATATTTGTTTCCCATTCCATATAAGGTTGAAGTACCTTTCTTTTTCTGGCTAAATGTAATTCTGAATGAATGTTAATTTACACTATTAAATTGGCCAAAGACATAATAGTAACATGCATGAGTGACAAAATTCAGTGGTATTTTTTTCAAATTAAATACGTTTAGAAAATGTTAATGTATGTAAGTTTTAGGTGCAAATAATATTTCCACAACTCACTGCCAGATGAAGAACGACTGTACACAGAGAAGAACATGCAGGGCAAGATCCACTCACTGTGGTAATTCTAAAAAACATCGACTATATATGTTTGATAAGCAGGATTTTACAAAATCTACTGTATACAGGGAGTGAACCTTGACAGAAGAAGGCACAACCACAAACACAGACAGAGCTTGAGAAGGACCCACTTTGCCACAAGAAAAAGACAAATATTCACAACAGAAACACAATGTCAAACTCAGCAGAATACAAACGGTGAAATTACTAAAACATCACCATGCACTATTTTAATATTGTTAGACTGTTGCTAGGTTAAAATATAAAGCAGAGATAAGATGTTGTTTATCTGTCTCTCATCCAAGATATCTATTTATGGGTATGCAGTCGTACAGCTACTTACCAATAAATGAGGTCACATGATGATTTAATGGGTAGAACGAGACTATCACGGAATGTACAAACTTGGAGGCTATTATCCAGCTTATGGCCATTTGCCACCAACTGCTATATATGTATAATCAAACTAAACACATTGTTTTAATTTGCATACATTACTCATTTTGAACTTGATTTTGTTTTTTAAAGAGCAGATAATAACAATGTGTTTCTCAGACTGTATTGTTTTTGTTCTGTAACATCTAGTTGAAAAGGAGTTTTAAAAGTAGAGAAAATTCCGTTGGTTTTTGTCACTGGGAAGCAATGAAGCATTCTGCTACAGGTTAATATTAAAACTGTCCAGCAGAGAAAACACAGCTCTCTCTCTCTGTCACGACTGCCTGAAACTCCTTTACATTTCTTTAAATTATGTTGGGCTCAGTTGCATGATTTGCAGCTATTTATCAATTTTTTCGTTGCTGGTGAAGGAATCCTAGCTCTAAATTATAATTCTAACACATTCCTGTACACCGGCAAACAAACCTATCATGGATGTGTCCAATTACTAACCCTAACTGTCTGGTTACTAAAAGTTAACTTATACTTTTTAACCAATCAGACTCAAGAATTTTCCAGGAACAAGTGTTATGCTTTTATGTACTGCAAGCAAACTACCTTGATTTTAATTTGTATATGATTTCATAATGAGCAGTATCCTCCTAAAGTTTCAGATGAACATGTTCTTTCATAGTGTAAAAAATATATTTCATGTTACCACTAAGTAGCTGAATTTACCAGTAACTTAAAAAAAAGGTTGTTAAACCTGATAGCTTAAGAAGAGAAATCCTGATCGCATTTTGGTGGAATACAGTAATCCCTTCAGCCTATGATATTTCAAAGCTGCTGACCTCAGGTCTCCTCAGAGGTAATTTACCTGACTGGGTTGCTTCTGGGTGGCCTGCTGCTGACTCTTAGGTGTCTTTTCCGGTGAGCCAGAGGAGGATGAGTGGCGAGACTTGGTGTGGGATCGCTGAGCAGACGAGCTGGAGATGCTGCTGGAGGTCTGGCAAGAACGTGCATAAACAGAAGGCTAGTTAGTTAGCACAACCAACATGGGACTATGACATCACTGAACAATTTGTAGAAGATATAATTTTTGTATTGTAGGAGCGTCAACATCAAAAGCAGTCAAAAGCTTTGGCTTCAAGCAGAAAAGTGAGATCAAATGATGACATGTGACATTGTACTTGAAGTGTTTGACCACCGGTGCACATAGAGGGGACATGTAGACTATAAGATGAGTACTGGGGTATGTCAGTCATCATGGGTAAACAGTACGGTATTTTGATGATATTTGTGACTTGGTTGGAGGATAATAATTGACATCATCAAAGACATTATTGGATGCACACCGAGACGAGCCCAAAAATTATCCCTTTATGCAGAGGTATTCATAAACTTATGGAGGCAAGAAGTAAAGCATGTGGAATATAGTGAAAAATAACAGCAAGAGACAAAGTTCCTGGAAAGTTTTGATACCAGTCAGAGTCTGACCTGCCATTCAAATGGAGCACAGACCCAGTCCACACATAAGGTTGTTGTGTACACACAGAATGTGAAAGAGAGATACACAGAAGATACAGCATGTGTATACACATGCCGTCAGAGTCGAGAGCCCAACACCAGCCCAGCAGTGCTGAAAGAAGTAAGCTCGGTAGGCAGAGGAACATCAGACCTGTTTCTTGGTGGTGGTTTTCCCTCTGTCATTTGGAAGCTGTGGTTTGGCTCTCTTACTCTGAGGTGAGTTTGGGCCCTTATGGATCTGAGTGGCTGGCCTTTTGGACGGGCTTCTCTCCCTTTCTTGTTTGACTTTGCTTTTCAACTGAGCTGTGTCGGTGGAGTTGAAGGAAGAATTAGGGGTCTGAGAAGGTGAAGACAGAGCGGAGGAGGGGGAAGACGGGGCAGTCATACTGTCCACACTGAGTTCCAACTGTTTAATAGATTCTTCTAGACTGCTAATAGAGTCAAATGTATTCTTACAGAGCTCCTCTACTCGGGTTTGTGACATAGACTGTCTGGTTTCAGCAGGAAGAGAGACCTTGATGCCGCTGTCACAGTTATTGGCTTTTCCCAAGTTGAATTGTTCAGCTCTGTTAATCTCAAACCTCTTGGATTCTGCTGTCTGCGTCTTGTTCTCCTTGACTGGACTGCCGTCCAGTGCTATCTCCTCGTCTTCTTCATACACAACAACTTCAAGAGTCTTCTTCCCTGTTTTGTTTGTTCCTGTTCGAATAGCCTGACTAATTGCAGCCAGTTTGTTTTTGGGAAACCTGAATTTGAATTTTCTTTTGGTTTCTGTCTTTCTAAGAGAGTCTGATTTACCCTGGTCTTTGTTTTCCAGAACTGAGACATTATTGGCTAAGGGTCTTTCATGCTGCATTTGTGGAGAATTCAGACTGTTGTCTGAGATGCCTTTAAGGCCTAAGCCAGTACTTATTTCAGTGATACAAATGTTTCTCACACCCTGCTCCTCTTCATTCTGCCTTGTTTCCTCTTCATCCACAATACATTCTGGAGAAAGAATCCCATCAAGATCTTCCTCACTTTCAAAGATGGTAGACAGACGCTTGTAGGCTGACTGAATGTCCATTGGCTCATTCAAAATAACAATTATAGGTTTTGTGCCAGACTCATCACTGTCCACAAAACCACAGTTCTCATATCCCACATAAGTGGGTTCACCAGGACTGTCCCTGGCTACAGTCTGTATATTAGAGCCATTCATTTCAGCTAGATCTTCCTCTTTGGACAGGGTCCTGTTTCTGGTCTTGGAGATTCTGTGGCTGAATTTACCAATCAAAGGTGGTGGAGGAGGTGGTCCCTCATCATCCAGAATAGTGGGGCTCAGAGTACCTCCATCTTCTCCGCACACTGATTGGTATTTGGATATCTGCACTTCCACCTGATTCTGCTCATTGCTGCTGGAGCCGTGAGTCGGGTTAGGTGAAAGGGGGAAAGGTTTTAGGACAGGAGTAGAAGTTATAACATCTTGATCTGAACTCACAGACTTGATCTGCTCCAGTCTTGGTGATGGCTCTATAGAGCAATGCTCTGGGGTCTTTTCTTTTTGTAAAGTTACAACTACCATGACATTAGACTTCTTCTCTGCTGGTACTTCTTTGACAACTTTTTCATTTGTCTGTTTAGGACTCGTGATGGATCCCTGAATCTCTTCCTTTTGTAGAGTAACAACTGTTGTAAACTTGACCTTCTTTTCCACTGCTGTTGGAGAGAACACCTGTTCAACGACTTTGTTAAAAGTCTGGTTCGAGTTGTTCAAAGTAAGATCATTTTCTTTACGCGAAGGTGGAACTGTAAATACTTGTATTTTTCCAGCTTTCTTTTGGGTTGGTGTTGGCACCTCCTCATTCTTGTGGACAGTCTGAACATCATGTACCGTGACCGGTAGGGGTACGACCACCTTCTTTGCTGTCGCACACTTCATGGAAGGTACTTGTGAAACCACCTTCCTTTCCTTCAATTCTTTCTTCTTATCAAGACTTGAAGGGTTTTTCCCACCTTTACTGTTTTCTTTCAGTCCAGCCACTGTTGTGAGTTTAAGAGGGGATCCATTTGTAACGGCCAACTTAAGAGCTGACTGGTGTTCACATGTTGCTAACTCAGAAGGGTTCTGAGCGGTCACTTGTGAGGTTTTGGATGTCCTGGCATTTCCTTTGGGCTTTTGCTTATTTCCACCTGGTGAATGATTCTTAACTGACAGATCTGTAGTCACCTATAATTAGAAAAGGTAACATTAAACACTTCATCAACTCCAAATTCAGGGGGGAAAAAGTAGGCTATTATTCCATTATATATTCCAGTATTGCATTATAACTCAAAACACATGTCTGTAGTTTTTGTCCAGTATATTCATGACTCAATATGATGTAAAGTTTCCTTTCATATAACAGTATCTGAGAAAAACCTAAATTAAAATATAAACCTAAAAAACAATATGTACTTGATGTAGTAAATATGGGTATAAAACAATTCATTTGTATGGTATGTATAATGAAAGAAGAGATCAGTCTTTGAGCTTTAACAATCAATGATTCAATGTTGCAGGAGGTAACAATAGTAGTAATAATAGATCTGCACACCAGTTGATGAATCCATGGACACTCCGGTCATTAAGACTTGTTAAAAATGATTTAGAGGATGTTCAGACCTAAAACAGTGCTGTGCTAAAACAATGGCCTGTGTTGTTTCAGGTACCACTGATTAAACTACAGTCACACGTGAACTTCATTGGTTATATTAAAAAATAATAATAATGATTAAAAAAATCAAAAGCTGGAGTCCCTCAGTTACAAATGTATTCAGACCCTTTGCTGTGGCTCTCTAAACTGTATCCAGGTGTAGCTAGTTTGCTTTATTAATCAGTATTTTCTTCTAGAACATGACTGGAGTCCACTTGTACCAAATTAAACGATGTGGACATAATTTACAATTTCATAATTTATTTTGCCAAACAGTATTTCAAAGACTCTGTGAGCATGAAGAAAAGTATTTTCTGAAATGATGAGACAAAAACATAATCCTTCTGACAGATCTCCAAACAATGTGTCTTGTATGTTGAACAGGAGGTCCTGCTCATCACTCGGCTTATAGATAAAGCCTGGTGGTGGCAGCATCATGTTAATTTGAATACAGTTGCAAAAATGTCAAAAAACACATTTACTTTGTCCTTATTGGTTATTGGTGTAGATGGATAGGACAGTTTCATCCATTCAAAATACAAACTACTAAGTGTGCAAAAAGAAAATCAACTAAATACTTTCTGAAGTGAATGTCCATGGAATGTGTGTATGCTTGTGAGTGTGTTAGCTTAAGGTTGAAGTACAGTTGGATGGAATCCAGTTAAAAGGGAATGGAAGACTTCAGGGGTGAAAGATGGTGGACAGAAGAAGTGCTGCTGGGTTTTGAAGTGCACCAGGATGCTCTGAAGGAGCCCAAAATCATACAGAGAAGAAAAGAACAAGTGGAAGCTCATTGGGTGGGTGATGCAATGTGCAATACACATATTATTATAGACTCAGAAAGAGGCCGAAAACAAGCATAGGACATAAACTGTTCAAAAATGGTAAAATATTTCAAAAAGACAAATACAAGGTTAATAGTTTATAGTCTTGTAAAATGTAAAAAAACAAACAAAAAAAAGTAGCTGAAACTATGTGAAAACAGTGATGTTTAAAAAGGGTTTGAAGATCCAGTCCATTAATTATATTTGCAACAGTTTGCTTAAAAAAGCAGAATATTTTTAAAAGTAGAAAAGTTATTAAAAAAAAAAAAAAAAAGTTGAATACACACTTAAATTTCCTTCAGAGAACTGAATCTTTGGATAGCTAAAAAGTGTTTGTAGCTCAAAGTAAGCAGAAGAAGTTAGACGTCAAAAAAACATAGTTTAGTTATTTAGCTTTCTTCTGAACCTAGGCATTATTTCTGAATGATGATACTGTATACATAATGACATGCCCTACTGTCACACTGTTATGGTCTGTAAAAGGTTTGGTGTTAGTTTGGGAACACATGCCTTGAAACTGGGAAAAATCATTATTCGATAGAAAAGAGCAACAAAACAGTCATTAGTATAAAAGCTGCAACTTTAGTAGATGTGAGTCAGAAGCATGAAAAATATTAATTGCAAACTAAAAATTGTTCATGAAAAAGACCACAGGTTAGTTCAGCTAGCACTGGTTACATTAAAACACAAATTTGGACTTTCACACAGTTGTTGAGTGTACGTTCTAATGAAAGCTAGCAGACTTGCATTAGGATGCACATTTTTAGTCTGTAGTGGGTATTGAGTTGTTAACGATTAGTATTGCTTTTTGTGCGTGTGTCTTTATATTTTACCTGAAGCTCCATCTCTCTGCTATGGAGCTCAGAGACAGAAGGTTTAGCCATGTCTCTGCTCCCTACATCCCTCAAAGAGCATTTCTGAAACACCTGGGTGAGAGGGGCAGAGGATCCATGTTGAAGGTTAACGAGACAGGGATGAGCTCAGAGACAGAAGGATGCAGTAGGCAATAAGCATCTCCTAGTTATACTACTTTCAAGTGTATCAAACTTAACTGAGGGCTTCAGTTTGTCAGTAATAATAGCAGCTAGTTGGAGATGGAGTTGTGTTGTCAGCCATTGCAGCATTGACTAATCCTATACTAAATGAGGATTTCCTACTATTAGTTGTGTTTTTGCACATTGCTTAAGGCAAATGAAGGAAAAACTACGGCATTATGTTTGTATGTATTTGATAGCGTGCTGTATAAAATGAAAATAATATATTGTTTTACCTGACATAGATCTTGATTCTCCATGAAACCAACTACGTATAAAGATTTAATAAAGAATCTGAAACTGCATTTAGATCAGATATAACGCAAACGAAGACAAATCTTCGCTGAAAGTTTTTCTGACTTCATCAATGAGCATATTTGTTTTCCTCTGTTCTTACTAACACGTAGTGTAGTGCAACTACAACCTGTGTAATTTTCTTTAATTAGAATTCACAAAAACGCTATAAAAAGTATTTCATGAAATGAAATAATCTGTTGTCCTGGTGTTTTCCCTGATTCTGTATTGATCTGCTTAAACAGCAGTTTTTTTTTAACATACCTGCAGCTCTTTCATGAATTTGTTGTGCCCCTCCTCTTCATCCTCCTCCTCGCTGTGTGCTGGGGCTGTAGCAGGGGTGGAGGTGGAACCAGTTAGAGGTGCTGGAACACACATCTGGGGTTTGGGTTTGACCTCTGGTGGTTGTCTTGGAGGTTTGGGCTGAGATACCAAAGGCGGCTCTTTCTCTTTGTCACTCTTATCCTTTTACAGAAACATGCAGCGAAAACAAAGCATAGATTAAACACTAATCAGCCACAACATTGTTATTCACTGACAGGTAAAGTGAACAACCTTCATCATGTTGTTGCAATACAATGCTCTGCTTGGAAAACGTGGGTCCTGGTATTCATGTGGATGTTACTTGGACATCTACCACCCACCTAAACATTGTTGCATATCAAACGAAATTCACTTGTGACTTTAACTTTATGTCCTGTTCTATTATTTTCTCTTAAATAAAAATTAAAAATAAAATCCTTCAGAGCAAATGTCCCTTTATCAGTTTAGCTAATACTAATCAAATTCTGTGTAAAATACAGTGTCTATATTATAAGTGGAGAGCAAAGAGCTCAAAGTGTGTGATGCCATAAAGTACTAATTGAAACCTTTTCCTTACTTTCTGAGACCACTTGTATGTTAGGACATAAGATCCCTTTGATCTTGTTATTTAAAAATGTACTTTGCATATTATTCTTATTTATTCCGATGTGTTTGCCCCCAAAGACAACACACCTGAGCTCCAGACTTCTTCATGGCGGTAAAGGTCACCTCTCCGGAACTTCCCATAGTAAAACCAGAACTGACACCATGAGACCTGGGCAAAAAATGATGAAAATAGATGCTGGAAATTTGAAGTGTGCCAGTGCTATGACTGCTATTTGATATGTCCTGTTAAGAAATAATGATGATAACAATAATAATATTAATAATTCAAGGATTCAAGGCCTTTATTGGTCACAAACACAGATATACATGGTATAACGCGCAGTGAAATGCTTTGTGTACCTGTTCCACACCGAAATAATAATAAAAATAAAGAATAAAACACAGAAGAAAAAAAATATATATATATATATATATGGGCAGTTGCTTCAGCCTTGGCATAGGAGTTATCATTTGAAATCAGTTTCTGTGACAGTTTGGACAGCGTGAAAGACAGAGCATGATGTCAGCCTCTATGGATGGAAACCTGATGAATGCTGGGAGCATGAAATGGTCAGATGAGACCAACCTAAATTTGTCAGTGTCCAGCATGTTTGTTGTGCACCTGGCCCAGAATACCATAGTGAATGCACAGTCCTGAGAGTGAAGCAGGGAGGCAGCGTGATGACATGGAGCTGCATGAGTGGAAATGGTGTTGGGGAGATGACACTTAAAGATGGCACCATCAATGCATGTGTACTAAAATACTGGCTGCCAAGATGACTGCATCAGCTCAGCAGAAGAGGAATATTTTAGCATGAAAATGATCCAAAGCACACTGCCAAAATCACACAAGACTTTCCAAAGAGCAGAAAAGTAAAAACTATGACCTGGGCAAGTATGTCATCTGATTTGAGTCCAATACACCTTTGTTTAATTTAAAAAAGAGAGGTAGTGCAACACAACCCCTGTGGCAAAGAGCAGCTACTAAGGAACTGTCTTTGAATAACTGCAGAACATCTGTCCAGAATTTTGTGCAACACTGCTATTGTCAAAGCAGCGGAAAATACTTGTGTGAAGTCTGTCACCAAAAATAACACTGGACATATGAAATAATAACTAAAAAAAACATTAAGAAAAGAAAAGATCTGAATCTCAGTAATGAATGGTACTCTGACATCTGACTGTGGTAAGAGTAAACACTCAACTATTAAATGAGAAATAATGCAGTTACTGTAAGGTGATACCAAGTGGAATCATTTGACATGTCTGTTGTATGTTGTACATATGGTGGGACTGCTTTGCAAGAAGAAGAATAAGATGAGGAAAAGCAAACATTGTCCTTCAATGCTTGTACACTAAACAGTGCATTCGAGGTAACTGTGATCAACTTACCTCCGTGGAGGAGGAGGAGGAGGTGACTTGCTGACCCTTTCTGGGCTCTGCTTCATCTCCTTGTCCACACTGGAGCGGCGGGGTTTCTCCATTTGTGGCCGGCTGCTGCGCTCTGGGTCAGCTGCTGAAAGAACAGCTGATCTAACAGGTGATGCAGGAGGTTTCACAGTGGCTGTGGGAAGCGGTGAAGTTGCTGCTGGAGCCAAACACATCACACCAAAGTACTGTCATTTAATAACTGAGAATTCCCTTATGAATTAAATACAGTCATATTAAATGATCTGCAAATCATTTTTTAATTTTCATAATTTTCACATGGACAACTGAGTTGACCAGATAGGAATGTTGAAGGTTTGCTGTATCATGACCATGGCATTTTTAGTTAAAAACTGTTTGTTGTATATCGAACAAATGCTAATAGGATTATGACTTTACATGAGAAATGCTGGTAAGTGAAAAATCATTATGATCATTTGGTAATCACAATTTATTTACTGTACTTTTATATGATTAATTCTAAAATAACAAAATAATTTGTACATACAAACCAAATCAAACAAACAAACAAAAAACAGACCAGTGGACTAGAACATGGCCCTTAATTGCACTTTAAAATCTGCCGTTTGAACATAAATGTGGAAACAGTAGAAAGACCGAAGCACAATGTCGACACCACTAACACAGCAGGAACACAGAAAATGAGACTGTCCATGAATATACTGCCCCAGTGCATGCAGGGAAAAATGTTAACACACTTGCCTGCATGTAATTGCAATTCCATGATCAGCACTTAGCCAATCAAATGAATACTGATGACAGAACTCCCATTTACTCATTCCTCTTCCATTTCATATTATGAGCACATATCAATATGAGTTCTTAAACTGCATTCACAGAAGTAAATTAGCTGGATAAGAATAATCTGATTTATACCAGCCTGATAGCCTCATGTTTCCCTGAAATATGTCAATATGTTTTTAAGAGGCAAGAAAATATCAAATGATTGTATTGTATATATGCTGTGTTTTATTTTCATTCTTCAAACTGAAGTCCTACCTATGTCTGGGAGTTTTGTTTGGCTGGAGTCCAGCTCATCACTCAGCTTAGCAGACGTGTCTTCCTGTGTATCACACAGAAGTACCTGTGGCTCAGCTGAGGTAAAAGCACAACAAGAACACAGATACACAGATATGTTAACATGGGCTCCAACAAATTAAAGGTTTTTTTGATGGTATTAAAACACCAAGAACCACGTAAATAAAATTACAATTGAGTTAAAGATAACAACTTTGGATTGTTTGGTTCTCTGTTTAAAATTTGTAAGGTCCTCGCCTTACTATGTGAAATGCCACGAGATGACATTTGAGTTGCCACTATATAAATAAAATTGAATTGAATTGAATGGATACAGAAGAATAGTTGTAGTACCTTGTTTATTTTGTGTAATGGCACAAATTCAAAACATAAATCATCTCAGGGCACTTCACATTGTATTATGTAGAGAAAGCCAACAAATACAATGACTTCCTTTGAGCAAGCTCAGGGTACAGTGGGAAGTCAAACTCCCTTTAAACAGGAAGAAACCTTTTCTGACAGAGACAGTTTTCTGAATGAACCAGCTTTCCAAAAAGAGAAAGAGAAGTTGCATATAAGAATGAGACAACGTGCTGACATGAGGCTTATGGTGTTACAAGTGATGCACAGGTCTACCTTGCAGTGTCATATCCAGAGGTGTGTCCTGCTGAAACTTCGAAGCAGTGAGAGTTGATTGTCCTGAGGCAGAATCAGAAAAGCCTTCTGCTGGATCTGACACATCCAGACCATGGGTGGACTTCATTAGGCTGCCCTGGGCCTCCTGAAGGACACGGTCAGGGTCTGTGCTGGTGTTAGGGAGAGGAGGCTGGCTGGAATCTGAGCTGGGTAGCTGGTTGACTTGGCTGGTGCTGGACTGGATCATATCGCTGGCATCACTCTGACAGCCCTCTGGAGTTTGTCTCTCTGTAGTCTGATAACACACAGAGTGAGTATAGGGATCGTTTGTTTAAAACTAGGCCTGACACTGAGGGAAATCTCTGGTATCAAGATTTGATACCACACAGAATGCAATTTAATATAATCAAACCTTGACAAGAAGCCTACAAGTGTGTGAAAATTCTGCTGCAGGAAATTTGAATCAGAATGTGCTAATGCCATTCAGAATTAAATCTGGTAAACTAAATCATTTGAAAGCACAAGGTTTCTTGATTCACACCATGTAAATCATTTAAACAGCACAGCAATAAGAACTTTTTTACTTCTTAGTAAAAGTGCATACACAGCAAACTGCCATCTATAGGGAAACGTTTAAGATATTTCTGATTTCGATGCTAACCGTGACAGTCCACTTGACTACCGCTACTTTGTACTGAATAAACAGTCTGTATTTTTTTCTCTGTGCGCGGTCTGCTCTATGAGCCCTCCTCTCATGTTTATCTATTGAATGATGGAACAGAACAGTAAATATCAGCTGTCATTTGTAACTAACCAATCAAAAGCTACCTTTTTATATCAGCTAAAAACAGTCTTCATTAAATATACTTTTACTAACTAACTCTTTTCACTTTATTTGTTCTTATTATTGTTTTACCTTGATCTTAAACTTTCTTCATTATTCTAGTTCATGCAGTAATACTGCATTTGTTACTGCATTTGTATCACTGTCCCAGATCAAGTGCTAAGTACTTTGTAATTTTGTGTTTTCTTGTTGTTGCACTTTGAAAAGTGGCATATAAAAAAAGGTAAATAAAAATGATTAATTCAACTATTCATTAATTTTAAAAGCATCCTCCCATAACTAAAACATTTGCACAGTACTGACTATAAGTATGAGCCCAACAAAACCTAACAAATCTAAAACCAATATATATTTTAAAAAATACAAATAAAAAACAAAACAAAATGACAAGGGACATAACAAACATAATCTAAACATATCTAAGAAAAGTGTTGATATTTCTTGGTTGAAATCACTGGAAACAAAGAGCTATGTGGATGTTCCAAGCATGGGTTTATGTTCAGTTATTGAGACACATTGTAACTGAAAGGAGTGATGGCACACTGCTGCAGTTACTGATTTCTGGAGGATGTGTGTTTTACCATGGTTTTATCGCCGTGACTCTGCTGTGCAGGTGTTGGCACAGCTCGGTCCAGTTCATCAGAATGATGAGGGCCTGTTCTCCTCTGCAGGCCAGGGCTGCCCTCTCTGCTGTAAGGACTCACCTTCACAACATGACAACATTTGATACATTTTAAATATTATTACAAAACAACATTGGAACGCACCAAAAATGATTTAACCTCTCGATGATGATTTAACCACCCGAGCTCTTGTTTGATATACATTTTTTATTTATCTTTGTTATTTGATCTGATCACAGATCTGAACCCAGAGAGAACCCACACTGCACGGGGAGACCATACGAACGCCATGCAGAAAGATCCCGGTGTTCTCACCGGGACGCAAACCAGCGACCTTCTAGCTGCGAGGCAACGATGGTAACCACCTTGCAGGTCTAAAATAAAAATAAATAACAATAATAAAAAATAAAAACAAATTAATTACTGTGGTAATATAACCCAAAATGTGATGTCCACAAATGTGGATGCCAGGTCCAAGCTACTCATCTCTCAAGCAGAAAAAGATTTTTTTCTTTAAAAAAAAGTCTGCTTTGGTAAGAGCAAAAAAAAAGCTGGACTACTAAAGAGTCAAGCTGCAGTCTCCAGGTCTACAGGCCAAATGGTTGATATGCTCTCATTCAACTAAGTTCTCATTGGTTGCAACATTTATAAGGAGTAAAGTGCTACACCAACAGCCTCCCAGGATTAATCCAAATATTTGGCGGACAGAGGACTGGACCACCTGTGAATAACCCCTGTTTTGTCACAACTTTGAACTTGCCCACCAAACCTGCTAGGATGAACTTATTAAACGTTTACCCAGTGGTGTGCTGTCAGGACCAGCAAGGCCTTCTCTGCTGGCCTTAACTCTATCACAATCACTGACTAATATTGTTATATTTTCCCATTAATCTTTTTACATTATTCCCAGTAGTCTATTCTCTTCATTTAATCATGTCTCTGGGCTGTGGTGCTTCCAGCAGTATGTTTATATTAGAGCTTTTATCCAATCATATTTCAGCCATCATGTGTTGCCGGGGTCAAAGAAATCTGCCCTGAGACCTTCACAATCAAAAGTGCAGGCGCCTGTAGTTTAAAATGTGTTGCAATGAAACTGTTGCTTTAACCAATACGATTTAGAGTTGGTGGTCCCAGGGCCAGCTAGCTGGCATTCGATAACATCAACTAGTGATTCGTATCAATAGCGGCCTGCAAAAGCTAAAACTTCATCGTAAAAGTACTGTTTTTTTGCTTATTTTTTACCTCTGCTCTATACATTGATCAAACGCTAAATATTTCAAATCCTGGTGATTATTTTCTGAACACGCATATATAACATGAACTTTCTTTTTAATTCCAAAGACTGCTTTTAATGGCACACTGGCTGTTAAAGGAAAAACCAACTTTTGACAACTATGATTGTCCCTAATGAACTATAAATTGGTCATCCAGTATTCTAGGGTGGTTGAGAAACAGCTTTGATATCGCATATTATTATTAATTTAATTTGCTTTATTGTTTTTAGTATATATTCGTGATTGATGATTTTTTTTTTTGTTTTCGACACATATAGAACATATTACTGTAATCCCATTTTTGTAAGTTTACTGATAACCCTGATACTGATGTCTCTTATCTTCAATTGTTTACCACAGACCACTAACAAAAACACCTGTTTACATCTACAGCTTACATTTTGTCCCTTCACTTAGCACATGAAACAATGTTGTACAGTACCTTAGTCACAGTGGGTGAGTCTCGTCCGTTGGTGGGTGTCAGGGGGGCACTGGGGTTCTGGTGGGAAGGCTGTGCCACTGAGGCTGATGTGCTCTTCATTCTGCGGGCCATAATGGGGGAGGCTGAGCCTGACAAGCAAACCTCAGTCTGACTCCCAGAGAGAACGGAGGTGGGCAGCGGGGACCTGACCGAAGATCGAGGCTGAGGTTTGGGGGAGCTCTGAGGGCTCTGATTCTTTGGAAGTCCCCGGTCTGTTTCCTGAACAATTACAGACTCAACCTTGGCTGATCTGGCAGGAGAAGTTGACTCTGACACACACCTGTTGAAAGCAGGGAGGACAAAATGGCCACCCACACATAAGGATTATTTTCCTGCAGAACATAACTGTTTTACCTGTGAATGAAGTCAGTGAGTACCTGCGGAGTGAACTGAGGGTTTCAGTGAGGGCTTTGACTCTCTTTAACATGGAGTCCATCATATGAGGCTCCTCCTTCAAAAACCGCACCGCCTCCACCTCCAGCCTCAGCACTGAGCGCATCTTCACCTGCAGCTCTGGAAACACACCTGAACGACAGCCAAAAAGTGGAAAACAATGAAAAACAATAGTCTGTGTAAACTAAAATTATTGTCATGGCAGATAATTATTTTGCAATAGATACTAGGAAACCTGCATGGTATGTAAGGAGTCTGGAGAACAAGTGAATTCATTGTAATTCCGACATTCTCATTGTGTTACTGACCTACATTTACTCTCATTACAGTTTTCAACCTAATTGCCTTGTAAAAACCTCATGGTTATCGCTCCCTCTTCTGACTAAACCAATTCCTACAATCTTCAGTGCCACAACATTTCCTGATGTGATGGTTCCGTCACATGCATATGTCAAAGCACTGATCCAGCGCATCTTGTTCACTGTTTTAATTAGCCAGTACAGTGATTTGATTTGTTTTTGTCCTGTCTTCATATGCCCTTATTTGACTGACCTTTGAGCTTAGCCAGAGCCTCTCCAACCCTCCGCAAGTTGACTGCTCCCTCCTCCACGTCTCTAAGAGTGATTGACTGGCTGGGAATGGCAGCGGAGCTCCTTTGCAAATGGTCCACATAGTCCTCAAGCTCACTGAGAGGCAAAAAACACATTAAACGTGTTGTGTTAGCAGTCAGTGCAGGCAGAAAAATCAACTGTGTGACAATCTGCTGCAGACACAAGATGGCAGCAGAGAATAGATTTGAGGAATTCACAGTCCTCTTGGTGGTTCTTGAATTAAGATAATGAAAGCTCATACCCAATGATAAAGTGATTGCAATGCTTTGAACAAAGAGTGTAGGGTTGGGTTCTTGGTCACAACAATGTTTAGGTGGGTGGTATGTATCTAAGAAACATTCACATGAGTGACATGACCCAAGGTTTCACAATCAGTGTTATAAACTTCACCTGTCAGCAGTATTAGTATGTTATTTATGAATAAAGAAACCAGTTCAAATTGTTTGTTGTTTTGAATTTTGTACAGGGGGAACCAAGATTTGAATGATTATCATTAGCTACCTTC